ATATATTTATATAAACACCATATAAGTCAAATATGTATTTAACAAAGCAATATGTATTCATTCACTTCTAAGAATTTTTTTGGTGTCAAAATAATATTAAGAGGTAGATGGAGTTGCTTCTGTCGAATTAGCTCTGCCACCAATATGTATCTTCATACACGGTCGGGAACGTTCCCTTCAGCATTAGGTATGACTTGTTCTGAGTACTGCTTCCGGTGCTAAAATGAACAAAGAATTTGTACTTAATGGCATGGACTCCACAGAATCTATGCGAATCAACCTTTCTACCTTAATATTGCCCAAAAAATGTATAGTGCCTTGTTTTTATGTACAGTTTATATACAGAAAAGTTTGCTCTGCGTTTTTGATGATGGTTTGGAACATTATCTACAATTTTACTCTCAAATAGTAAAAAATAAAAACATCTCAATTTCTAATACCTGTTGTAAGCATCACACATGTCATTTTGTGATACAGGACTCCAAAATATTAATAAAAAGCGTCAGAATAAACACAACAATTAATTGGTTCACATTGAATTTCAAGCATGTTCCTTTCTGAAAAAAAAATTTTTTTGTAAATGTTAATCTAGTACCAATATTTTGCCATCAAGTATCAAGTAACTTTGCTGTAACTTTGAATTTAGTTTAGGGCAAGATTTTATACAAGGTCATAAGATTATATTGATATTGGCCCCATAAGATTAAAAGTCCTCAGTACTATACTGAAGACATATTTTTGCAAAATCATCATTCAACAGAAGTTTTTTACCCCACGACGGTATCTACATTTCAATTTCAGGATCTCAGTGCCTTTTTTAAAAAAAATTAAATGTATGAAACATCTAGAAAACTTACAAATAAGTTAGAAAACTCCTCACAAGCTAATATGTTCTTAAAATACCAAATTCATGGTGTTGAATGTATTCTACAGACCTACTGCGCGTTGTTCCTGCCCCTACCCTCCCTGGCAGTGTACACTGAATGCAGCCAGTCCCAGCACCTTCACCAAAAACTTGGGAACTTACTCAGAACCTGTGGCCTGCCCCTGGTCACGCCACTTTGTGACCGTGTGATGACACTTGGCAGTCACCGAACTTTTCTGCCTCGGTTTCCTAAAAAAGGAGATAATACTAGCGATCCTGCCTACATCTGAGCGAGGGTGGTGTGGAAGCTCTTGCAAATTGCCAAACGCTAGACTCCTGCGGTACTGATACTATTGTGATGGTCACTGAGGCAGGAAAGCAGGAGAGTCCAAGCTCAGGAACGTCATCAACTCCTAGGAATCGTAGATTAAACCAGAGCGAGTAGAAGGAAACGGAGAGAGAGAGGTTCCTAGCCCACGTCCCAGGGAAGATGCAAAGAGGAGCCGAGAAAGGCTCCAGGGTCAGCAGGGCGACCTGCAGAGTGTCAGAGAGAGGTGAGGCTGCAGCCGCCCGCAGCAGGTTGGGGAATCACAGGGACGCTCAGGGACACAGGACGAGCGCGAGTTGCTGCGGGGCTTCCAGTGGAGCGTCTGCTGTAATTAATAAATAAGACAGGTGTCGTCGTTAATACTCGTTACCACCAGATTGTTCCAAAGTGCTCTAGAATTGTGTGTATCTACCTGTATTAAACATCGTCCCCGAAAGCATGCTGGCCGTCTGCTTCTTGCCTCTTTGGTGAATGCGACACCCGTCTGGTGATGCCGCTTTACTTGTTGCTTCTTTTCCTCTGAATTGATTCCTGCGTCTCTTTCCTGCCTACAGAACTACTTCTTTTCTTAGGTGGTTTTTCCGATCCTTTGCCTTCCGTAGCTGAACCCTAGAGCGTGGCACACTGAGGAGAGCCCTCGCCTCCGAACTTGGACTGCGACGTCCTAAGGACTCAGCCTACCAAGTTGCGCTGGTGCTTCCGGCTTTTCCCCACAGCCCCCCAGTCCAACCCTGGCTTTGACTGAAGACAGCAGGCTCAGGGAAGTGGGTTTCCTTAACTTGCTGCTTTTGGACTAATGGAGTTGTCAGAGGGAGACGGATGTTTGGTTGAGGCTGTGATCAGGGGCGCAGCAGGAAGATGGGATGTTGAGTGTGTTCTGAAGCTTTGGACACACGGTACAAATATGGGCCCTTCCAGAGTGGGGCGAGCGCCCCGTCTGTTCCCCTGCGTTTTCCACAGGACAGAGGGAGGGACAGCCTAGGGAGGACCCCACGTTGTTCCCTCCCATTTTAAAATTTCTGCCCCACTCTTAGAGTTCCCATTTTGGTAAAGAACAGATGTGTTCCAGAAGCAGTTTGAGAATGCATCGTGGTTGTTTGGTTCTGTTGTTTTCTGATTATCAATTAACAGTTAATGTCCACAC